TTATGATTAACAACTGAATAAAGACTCTCGGTGCTTGATAATACCACTGTTAACAAAAGAAACAGATTATTTTAAAGTATATCCATTCCAAAATAACTGTGTGCGCGCAACAAAAGAAACAGATTATTTTAAAGTATATCCGTTCCAAAATAACTGTGTGCGTGCGTGTGCAGCATTGCTTTTGGAAAGCACTCTCCCTTCTCAGGATGCAGTCTCAGCATTATTTTTATAGGCCAAAATCTGCCATAAAATCTTCCCTGTGCAGGTTGTTTCGATTTTCCTTTATGTAAATGGGACCCTTGACTTGGCCTCCACTGCTTATCTTCTATCTGTATTAATTCTCCTAAAGAGAGGAGAATTTAATTGTCCTAAAAAGAACTTGAAAAATGCATTCTTACCCAAGCCTCTTGAAAGCTCGTCCTGGTAAACGAGGGTACTTACATGGGTAATGTATGCATTTTTAGCTTTCTAATGTGTATCTTAAGTATCTACTGTTAACTGTTGCAAGAGTGGTCTTTCAAAGATAAACAGAGTGTGAAATGATGCACTATCGTTTTCCTAAATCCGCTGTCAGACATCTTGATTGCCTCTACTGCTACCTCTCACCTTAATGAACATGTCTAATCAGTTTCTCTGCTGCTACCCCCACAGCAGATCTGCAGAGATTCACATCCGTTTCTTGCTGCTGCTTAGAAAGCTGAGTGGCAGCAGAGACAGGTACTGATGTTATTCTAGGAGGAAGACGACTCCCAAAATGGAACCTAGAGGAGAGTGTAGTAGTAGAGACTACCTCTTGCCTCCATGAGCCCTCATACTAGTTAGGAGGTAGAATGGGGGTAGGGTAGAAGAGACCCTAGCTGGAGCCAGAATGGACTATGAGCATGAGTTAGAGGTACAGGTATTTTCCTGCTTTCCTGCCCTACCAGAAACCTGAAAGCTTTCAGGGGAGGTGTTGGTTTGAAAACAGCCTCCCCTCTCTAGCAGAAAGGGAGTGCAAGTTCTGGGAAAGGGAGCAGACTAATAGAGAATGATCTTCCCCCTTACCATACTCAAGAATGTTGGGGAGGGTGGAACTATGTACAAGGATCCTACCTTCCCTTTGCAGCAGACAGGAGGTCCCCAGGAAGGAGAAGAAACAGAAAAGCCTCTTTTCCCTTGCAATAGTTTATGGTGACGAAAACAGCCTCCCCTCTCTAGCAGAAAGGGAGTGCAAGTTCTGGGAAAGGGAGCAGACTAATAGAGAATGATCTTCCCCCTTACCATACTCAAGAATGTTGGGGAGGGTGGAACTATGTACAAGGATCCTACCTTCCCTTTGCAGCAGACAGGAGGTCCCCAGGAAGGAGAAGAAACAGAAAAGCCTCTTTTCCCTTGCAATAGTTTATGGTGACAAGTTTATCAGACAGTTGCTAGCCAGAGGTGACAAGTTTATCAGACAGTTGCTAGCCAGAAGTTGACATAAAAGATTTTAAGGTGCTGAATGCTGTCAACACCCATTTAAATCCATGGGAGATGTGTAGCATGCAGGACCTTCCAAGGTTGGGCTCAGAAACGAGACACTTAAAAAATGTGATGTGTCCTACTAGAAATCAGATAAAAGCCATCTTATAATGCAGAGACATCCCCTTTACTGCCATGAATTTTGACCACATTCTATACTGTGACTCAAGTAATTCAGGTTCAGTTAGTAAAACCTTATATAGAAATACTACAGAGAGTATTTTCTGACCCACTGACACAAAAATACTCCGTGGGACCAGCACTTACTCCATAGAGCTATCACCCATCATTTGAATTTTCCAGAGACTTTTTAAAAGTGAAGTGGGAGAAAATCGTTACTTTGACAGCTAAAAGTAATAAGTTGACAGTGCATTTACAATGTAACCTCCAAAGACTACAAATTGATACTACTTTTAATTTAAACCGTTCAAATATTTTTTTCAGAGCAGAAATAATTCTCACCTGTTTTTGAGTAATATGAAGCTATATATTGGTCTTTCATAGATAATTTCAGACAGTCAAACGCACATGACAGTATGCAACAATTTGTATAAGCATTCATGAACATCACAATACTGAATGTGTAATATTGGCATTGCATCATAATAGAATCCCTTTCAAAAATATAGCATCATAATGAGAAAATGAACACAATTACTGACATTAAGGGTGAACAGAACATCTATTGTAATGCATATTCATATGAAATAAATTATGCTAAAAGGCTGAAAATAGTGGGCTATTACAGATTTCCTCTCCATGTAGCTGGCTTAAATTCCCAGCTAGTTGATGGGGACTCACTGTTTTTCATTTAATAGCCAATGTGTTTGGTTGTCTCAATCCAGCTATCAGGTTACATCACAAAAACCAGCACTCTTATTGGTTGTTTTATTAAAGAGGTCAAGGACTGGTCTAAGTATGGAGTCTGAACTGCTCTCTCTTTTATAGGCACAGTCTGCTCTGATAAAGGTTGTAGTATATTGGGAGTTTGAGAAGGCTTGTACTGTTTCTACTTGGGCTGGAACGTTCTGAATCTAAAGAGGACATTTTCTAAGACTTCCTTCTGGCCTCCTCCAGTAAGACCTCAAGAAAAATATTTTTTTTTGTAAAGTTTGCTTTTCAAACAGATAACAGGATCCAGCTGATGGAGAAGGGGTGACATTTTTAGAAGTGTCAAATCCCTTTTTAACGTTCGGATCGGACCTACACTGCCATGGAACTGTATCTGGACAAAGGACGTAGGTACATAGACAATAACATGAGCATGTTAGCCTACAGAGACTGATGGTTCTGAATATAGATGTATAAGCAATGTCAAAATATGCTCACATATAATACTTTATTGGAAGGTACCATATCTGGATACCTGTGACCATTATAGCCTCAATTGATGCCTACTTTCTCCAGACACCTCGGTTATACTAGAATTCCCCCCATGGAAAGGAAAAGCCACATATTTCTTATACAGGAACAACCAAAGGTATCTTATCTACAGTAGCACACTTCACTTCTGTTTTTCAGCGAAGTGGAACCTGCACCAAGGCTACCAACACAGACTAGACATAGATGTTTCTACTGCCATACCATCTAGTTTTATCCTCCTAGTAAAAACACCGCTGCAGCTGCACCTTCAGAGGTCTAATCCACAGGGCAGTAGGACTTCTTAGGATGAACTTCATTATACTTGAAAATGCATTTTATATTTTTGGGGGGGAAAACAGGGAGAGCTTTGAAAACATATATACAGCACCTAGCTAAGTAAAAGTCCCAGCCAATATATGCATTCTTTGAAAGACTATATGGATTGCATATGTGCAGTGCTTATAATGCCTCCTAAAAGATAACATTACAGTTGTAATTCCAGCAGGCCCTGGTCTGTGACTGGAAGCTGTTTGACACAGCATTTAATAAACCACTCTCTTTATTCTTTTTCTGTTTTCTATAAAATTGCAATACATTTCACACTTCTGGTAGATTGTAATTTTATTTAATATAAGATGTAAATATTGGAAGTTGACTACAGCAGACTTCCATGAAGCTAAGCACATAGAATGCTGCACAGTTGGGTACTAATACACTATTATTGGCACAACATTTTATCCAGCTTGTATCTGCTCTTCAAAATACCGAAGACTTCATTCACAGAATATTTATCAAATGTTATAACTAATGACAGGCATTGCTCTGTACTGTTCAATCCTGAACATTTGCTGTAGGCTATGCTCTTATAGAAACCAGTATTTTTGTCTGAGAAAGGAGTTCACACTTGAACTCCAGCTTCTATGATACTATGTAGGTATTCATGTTTCTGAGAAGTGCTTAAATAACAGGGGCTGGGTAGTATAGAAAACCCTCAAGGAGAGATAGGCAAAGAATTGTTTTAGGTCAATCCTTCATGATAATCATGCAGAGGATTCATTGTTAAGCAATGCAGTGCATGTCCAACCTGAACCCTACTTTCATACATGGTAGTGGAAGAGAACCACTAAACCCTAAGCTCAAATCATTCCACTCTTTTTAAAATATATCATTTAATAAATATTCCTTTAATATTTTCATTCCTCTCACATCAGTTGTGGACCAATCCACCACTGAATTCAATGGAACTTTTACTGCTAACTTGCAGAAACGGTAATTACCATTCACTAGCTCACAGTCACACCAAGAACACAGAAATTCACGTTTAGAACTTGAAATATTTAACTTCAAAATTCATCAACAAAGTAACCCTGAGTTGCAGCATATTTTCAAAATTATCTGAAAGGGACTCAAACTTGTAAGTAATTCATAAATCTTGCCACTTCCTCCTCCTCTCTCTCTCCTCTTTTTAATAAACTGTAACCTATATCTAGATGAAAATAAATGAGATCTCTTTTAGTTTTGGTCTGTTGATTTTATAGGTTTCTTATCCTGGGTCTGATTTTGGAGATCTTTCAATGAACGTATCAGATAGTATAGTAATATGTGCTTACCATTTATGCATTTGTAATCATATTCCATAGGACAGCTAACACAAATCACTCGGTAAACTGTGGGTTATCCACCTCAGTATGCGTTACAAACCTGCTGTCCCAAAAGGTGAAGTTCACTGTACTGTTTGAGTTGACAGGATAATATGAGATAGATATTTTGTTTGAACACATAGGTCAAACCCTGCTTTGGAAACCAAGACCTATAAATGGCCTTGGCAGAAGTGTATTCTTCAGGCCTAGAGCTACATGTGGCACATGTCATCTCTAAAACAGAAAAGAGGCTCAGTCCTCCTGCAATACCTCCCTGCTTCAACACTTGTTTGCAGTGACAAAGGATGGGTAGTGGTGAACAGAAGCCATCTTTGGAAAGAACATGATCAGCCTAAGTGCAATTCAAACATTATGTTGCTCCCCCTAACTTTCTGAACTATTACATATTAAACCTGACCCATTGCTTCTACTGACCGAATTCTTCCCTGCTGAAAATAAAATTAAGCCTAGGATTATTTTATATAAATAGGACAGGAAAACTGGAAAAGACATTTATTCTTCAGTTTCATTGCAGACTTGTCAGTGACCTTGTCCCCCAGAATAGGAAATGTTAAAGTCCTTTGATTTATGGGTGGTATCCTGAATATTCAGTAGTCTTTGGTCCAACGCCTTTGGCAGCTGGTGAATTGTTTGAAGTGCAGTTGCAATTAGGGCAGTGATGGTACGATGGAGTTCGGTGATGAGATGATCTTGACATGGAAATGGCAGAGGCTGCTGCAATCATAGGCATTGAGAACCATGGGTTACAAAATGGCAGCAAACTAGCCCAATGAGCCTGCATAGCTGATAAGTCTGGATACATGGCTGGGAAGGCAGGAAGCCCCATCACTGGTCCAAAAGGACTATTTGATACAGGAGGTATGACGTGATACAAAGAAGTCGCAGACGTAGTGGTAGTGGAATCTAGATCATGGTTGCTGACTCGAGTATGGCTGTTATTTTGAGGTAAATGGAACGGAGCCAGCTGATTCAACTTCTCATTGTCTTCTGCTGTAGCATGATCTGATTGTCTCAGTGAAGCTGCAGGTGAAGAAGTGTATCCACTTCTGATTCGGGCAGTTGCTCTGACAAGTCCCTTATTCACTGTAGGCTTTCTTAGTGCACACGTTTGAATGTTTTCCTTTGAAGCAGTTGCAACAAGGTCATTTTCCTCCATGGAAGCAGTTCCCAAAGCAGACTGAATGTCTGAGTTTCTTCCCTCATTCTTTAGGCAGTTTTCACTAAATTCCTGTTCTAATGAGAAAGCAACTGGTGGTGTATTTTTGATGCCAACTCTTCTTTTACATCTTACAAGGAGGTGGGGATAGCCTCTCTTAAAATTCGGGTTATGGTAGAACTGTAACTAAATAAAGCAAGGGAAAAGATTTAATCACCTCTATGAGAATAAAAAAAGTCAAGTGCACATTCTGGCTACGATTTTTGCCTACATAAAGCAGTCAAACATTAATATTGAACGGACACTGGCAAACAATTTTGGCCCCAATTTTAAGCTGCAAAAAAGATATGATGAAACAGAGGTATTTTCATTACATTTTAAATCAGTGAAAATTCTTTGAATTTAAACATTCTCCTGCAGCATTGTGTTTAACCTCAAGAAATGGACCTGAATAGCTTACTTTCACTGTAGAAGCCAAATTAAGTGCAAAAAGCAAACATGGCAGAAATGGTGAAAGGTAAATTTGAAATTTAAAAGGTGTTAGAAATACAGACAGGTAATATTTTAATGGATTATCTCTCTTAAGTGGGTCTAGTATCGAAACTAAAGTTTAAACAAAAAGGATGGATATTATCCGACAGTAGGAGACTTTCTAAAGCATGTAAAAGATTTAGGTCCAGAAGTACAAGTCCCCTTGACTTTTAGTAATTTAGATAAAAGGCCATAAATGTTCAAATAGTAACACATGGCTCATATCCATCTTCCTAGCATTCAGCAAATGCCAGTGGGAAAAGAAAGCAATGCAAACCTAGTACCAGAAGGACACCAGTAACCAGAAGAGAGAAAGAGAAGGGGGCTGAGAGGATTTCTGTTTCACTGGCTCAGGCGAGCAGGGAAAAACCCACACTGAAATAGTCACTTCTGGGCAAAAAAATAGTATTCACATTTTTTTACTCATTCATGAGAATACTTTGAGAACTATGGATGTCAGAATAGCCTTCAAAACCCTCATTCCTAGATTCTCTTCATGAGCATAAAACTTTTGTGCATGCAAAAAACCCTCATTAAATGTATTTCAGAATAGGCATCTTTTAAGCTTTGAGAAACTATACTGGCATTTTACCTTGCTAAAAGCAGATGCTGCTTTTTCTTCTGCTAGAAATTCAGCTAGTGAGGCAGACCTTTGAAAATCTTGCCGCATTTTGCTAAAGCCATAGAGATTAAGCTGACGGATGAAACTTTTCATGCAATCAGTTTCAAAAATTCGCAGAGGGCCTCTCCTTTCTAGCACCTCCTTTTTAAAGAGCTCTTCATCAATCACTACACAATTTCCATCATCATCCCACCAAAGTGACTTAAATTGATCACTTTCAACAATTTTCCATAGTTTCTTTGGAAAGGTGAGGGATAAAAAATCATTGTCTTCAGTGGAATTATCCTCACAGAGAGTAAGACGTGGTCTTTTTACCCATGGTCCATCACTCAGAGCTTGAAAAGCATTTTCTTCTATTATAGACCTCAAGGCAGAGTCACCAGCTGCTGTTTTATCACACAATGGAATAGCAGAAGAAATTGAGGTAGCAGAATCAACCATTTCATCCTGAGCTGAAACATGTAATGTTTCTGCTATAGGAAGGTCCATCTCCAATCCTTTATCGCTTTGACCTTTTTCAGTTGTAGCCATTTATGCTATTAGTTGAGCTTCATGCTCCTAGACAGTGGTATATTAAAATGATGCTAGCTTAAAGTGAAACTTCAGTAGAGAGTTCTAGAACATCATAATGATACTTGTGGTGTGTGGCTGTGACATCATAAAACAACTGGTTTCCTAGCAAATTGAGGTAATAATGGCCAGACAAGTCACTAAAGTGAAAAGCATTTAAATATCATTTACGAGAGATTAGATCTAATCTATAAAAGCTTTGTCTCATGATGTAAATAAGGCATATACTGACTGGACATAGAGCACCGTACCATCCATTCCTCCCTCTCCCCACAGCAGTCATTCCACAACAGAGCTGAGGGAAGCTTGTAGTGCTGCGGTTGTTGGGAATAAAGGAAGAAATTTATTTGCCTAGTCTTTCCACTGAGCCTCTTTCACTAGTGAAGAATTCCCCACACTGTGTTCTTGCCATCAGACCCTGGCTGTATGAAAAAAAAAATAGGAGTACAAGTATTTAAATTACATACACTGTATATAAAAATAAGGATTTACAATTCCATTTAGCAGCTGCAAAGGAGACTGTTCCCTCTGGTCTCTTGCAGAAGCCTCTTTCTGCTCCAAAGACTGGGGAAGGAGGTACTGGTAAAAGGCAGAAGGAAAGAATCTGAAAAAAATCACCACAGGTTGATCATCACTGCCCATCTTCTATGTGATAGTAACATTACAGAGCAAACCAAGTCACCTGCCAGCACTTGTCACAGGGATAGAAGAGAGAAAGAAGGGGAGAAAGGAGATTGTCTATTAGATGTTGACTTCCTATTGGTTCTCCCTTCCAGTGAGAATGTGGGAATTCAACCTACGCGTTTTTTCGGCTGCTCTTTTCCAGTAGGGTAGCCCAGTGGACAAATGGAAGGCCTTTTACTCCCTGGGCCTCTCAAGGAGTTAGAGCAGAGCATGTTCTCAAGTCCAAGTGGACAATGATGGTGGGATATAAATGCATTGTTAGGAGGCTACCTCTAAACCCCAATTTTGCTGCAGTAGATGAGGAACAGTGTGGCCTATAATGAACTATCTTCCACCACTGAATGCCCATTACCGAGGAGACTGGGGATGGATAGGGGGAGAAACGGGTAGATGGAAGAATAAAGGCAATGCAGTAGGGAGCACTTGCCTCACTAGTATTACAGTTGGCAGAACAAATATATTCCCTACTTCTGGCATAACTAACTGTGGCTAGTGGTTATAGTGAAGAGATGAGTTTCCACATTCCTGTCATTCCTGCATCAGCCATTTTTTGAGAAACAGTACTGATGGATATCAGAGTGTATACTTATCACTGAGTTGTAAGAGCAAACACAAGCATCTCTTTGCCAAAGAGAACAAACTACTGTAACATGAATTTCAGATTAATCTCACTAACCTACAAGCATCCTCAGTAGAGGTTTGGGAAAGAAAAAAAAACCCCACCCGTCACCCCCCAAAATTCATGACAATGTCAAAGTAAACAGAAGCTTTTCTAGAGAATTTACTAATTTAAAATGGCACAACTCCTTGTAAACGGTTTAATAATTTGGACTGACCTGTGTTTCACAAAAGATAGGGTAGTTTATGCAACAGTACAGTCTTGGTATTTATGTCAGCCAAAAGATAGGGTAGTTTATGCAACAGTAGTGTCTTGGTATTTATGTTAGTTGTAAAATTGATGACAATCTACAAAATCTGAGCAATTAAAACGAAGTATAGATTTTCCACATAATATAGGAAAAAATAGTTTATTAAACAGCTGAAGGGGCTAATAACTAATAATGTGTTGCTTAATGGTAAAATATGACTACAGAACTTGAAGACGCAACACAGTTAACATCTACCCCCCCCACAAGTCAGTGCAAAACGCAACACAGTTAACATCTACCCCCCCACCCACAAGTCAGTGCAACGGTTGTGATTATTTACACAATAATTTACATTGAGTCAAAATCATGTAAGCTGTTATACATTCTATATAAAACAAAAGCCTTCAAGTCTTGCCAGAGAAGTGCAATGCTCCTGTGCCTCTGTAGTTAAAGATAGTGTTCATGTCTGAAGAGGAAATGACAGGTAAAGACATGCCAACGCATATATCTAAACAACATACAGCAAGAGAGGCCAAATATATACTTAAGACTTGAAAGACATCCTCTGTAATAGTCTATGCATTTCATACAAGTTTTTAAAAAAATACCTTTACATAATATTTATACTGTACAGAACTAGAATTTGAACAGAATATATTACATTGCTACAATGTTCGTATAAATACTATACAGCCAGGCACATAACCAATCCACTAGGAAGGTTCACCGATTAGACAACCACCTATCTTCAGGGACAAAAGATCATAACACTAGGAACACAATACTTAAAATGCTTAAATGAGGTGTAGAAAAATCTGAATTTGAGTTACCAGAGGTCATGTTACAGAATATTAAAAGTTTTCAATGCCCCATGCACTACAATTGATATACTGGATTAATTTCTCTGGTAATGACTTTATAGGTATATTTAAAAAAAAAGATTAACTAGTGTTCCCATTTGGATTCACTACCATGAGATTTTAAGTAAATATGGAAAGCTCCGAAAGAAATCATTTAAAAATCTCCAATGTATACATTATAAGCCACTAACTGACAAATACCTATCCTTAAAAGAAATTAGAACATTTTTTGAGATGAAATACATTTGGTTGTTTATTCCTAGTTCCAGTTTTGTTGTCAGTTGTCCATCTTCTAAATTCGTTTTAATCTGGCACATCAATGCTTAGCTTGGGAGGTGGAATAACGTACTTTCCAGGACTCTGTGTAATGACCACTCCAGTCTTTTTTCGGAACATTGGTGCAATTTTGGGAGGTTCTGGAACAGGTGTTTCTTCCATTTCTTCATTATCTTCGTGATGAAGATCATAAGAAATATTTCCATATTCTCTCAAGAATGGGAAAATTTCAAGTAGAAATTGACAGAAATCTTTGCGAATTCCAAACCACCCTGGACAAATCCAAATTAATAGTTTCAGTTTTACTCAAGAAGGAAATTACACTCTAAAACCAAGTACTCATTTCATTTTTATACTAAAATCTTATATAAATATTGTTTATAAATAGTTAGACACTAACACATGGTGCTAGTGACTCAGTAGATAGTACCCTTCCATTAATTAATCCCACAGCATGGCATACAGAAGTATTTTACCTGCTACAGGCAAATCTTTCACATAAAACAAAGCCAACGTCCTGACTACTTGCAATTAAAGATTCCATGATATCCTTGTCAAACAGATATTAAGATTGGTGACCGGTTGCCATATTTCACCTAGATAAGTTCCAACTGAAATGAATTTCAGTACATTTGTTTGTTAAGCACATGGGGTCCATTTGGAATGAACGAAGGCAGAAGGAAAGAATCTGAAAAAAAGTCACCACAGGTTGATCATCACTGCCCATCTTCTATGTGATAGTAACATTACAGAGCAAACCAAGTCACCTGCCAGCACTTGTCACAGGGATAGAAGAGAGAAAGAAGGGGAGAAAGGAGATTGTCTATTAGATGTTGACTTCCTATTGGTTCTCCCTTCCAGTGAGAATGTGGGAATTCAACCTACACGTTTTTTCGGCTGCTCTTTTCCAGTAGGGTAGCCCAGTGGACAAATGGAAGGCCTTTTACTCCCTGGGCCTCTCAAGGAGTTAGAGCAGAGCATGTTCTCAAGTCCAAGTGGACAATGATGGTGGGATATAAATGCATTATTAGGAGGCTACCTCTAAACCCCGATTTTGCTGCAGTAGATGAGGAACAGTGTGGCCTATAATGAACTATCTTCCACCACTGAATGCCCATTACCGGGGAGACTGGGGATGGATGGGGGGAGAAACGGGTAGATGGAAGAATAAAGGCAATGCAGTAGGGAGCACTTGCCTCACTAGTATTACAGTTGTCAGAACAAATATATTCCCTACTTCTGGCATAACTAACTGTGGCTAGTGGTTATAGTGAAGAGATGAGTTTCCACATTCCTGTCATTCCTGTATCAACCATTTTTTGAAAAACAGTACTGATGGATATCAGAGTGTATACTTATCACTGAGTTGTAAGAGCAAACACAAGCATCTCTTTGCCAAAGAGAACAAACTACTGTAACATGAATTTCAGATTAATCTCACTAACCTACAAGCATCCTCAGTAGAGGTTTGGGAAAGAAAAAAAAACCCCACCCGTCACCCCCCAAAATTCATGACAATGTCAAAGTAAACAGAAGCTTTTCTAGAGAATTTACTAATTTAAAATGGCACAACTCCTTGTAAACGGTTTAATAATTTGGACTGACCTGTGTTTCACAAAAGATAGGGTAGTTTATGCAACAGTAGTGTCTTGGTATTTATGTTAGTTGTAAAATTGATGACAATCTACAAAATCTGAGCAATTAAAACAAAGTATAGATTTTCCACATAATATAGGAAAAAATAGTTTATTAAACAGCTGAAGGGGCTAATAACTAATAATGTGTTGCTTAATGGTAAAATATGACTACAGAACTTGAAGACGCAACACAGTTAACATCTACCCCCCCACCCACAAGTCAGTGCAACGGTTGTGATTATTTACACAATAATTTACATTGAGTCAAAATCATGTAAGCTGTTATACATTCTATATAAAACAAAAGCCTTCAAGTCTTGCCAGAGAAGTGCAATGCTCCTGTGCCTCTGTAGTTAAAGATAGTGTTCATGTCTGAAGAGGAAATGACAGGTAAAGACATGCCAACGCATATATCTAAACAACATACAGCAAGAGAGGCCAAATATATACTTAAGACTTGAAAGACATCCTCTGTAATAGTCTATGCATTTCATACAAGTTTTTAAAAAAATACCTTTACATAATATTTATACTGTACAGAACTAGAATTTGAACAGAATATATTACATTGCTACAATGTTCGTATAAATACTATACAGCCAGGCACATAACCAATCCACTAGGAAGGTTCACCGATTAGACAACCACCTATCTTCAGGGACAAAAGATCATAACACTAGGAACACAATACTTAAAATGCTTAAATGAGGTGTAGAAAAATCTGAATTTTAGTTACCAGAGGTCATGTTACAGAATATTAAAAGTTTTCAATGCCCCATGCACTACAATTGATGTACTGGATTAATTTATCTGGTAATGACTTTATAGGTATATTTAAAACAAAAAAAAGATTAACTAGTGTTCCCATTTGGATTCACTACCATGAGATTTTAAGTAAATATGGAAAGCTCCGAAAGAAATCATTTAAAAATCTCCAATGTATACATTATAAGCCACTAACTGACAAATACCTATCCTTAAAAGAAATTAGAACATTTTTTGAGATGAAATACATTTGGTTGTTTATTCCTAGTTCCAGTTTTGTTGTCAGTTGTCCATCTTCTAAATTCGTTTTAATCTGGCACATCAATGCTTAGCTTGGGAGGTGGAATAACGTACTTTCCAGGACTCTGTGTAATGACCACTCCAGTCTTTTTTCGGAACATTGGTGCAATTTTGGGAGGTTCTGGAACAGGTGTTTCTTCCATTTCTTCATTATCTTCGTGATGAAGATCATAAGAAATATTTCCATATTCTCTCAAGAATGGGAAAATTTCAAGTAGAAATTGACAGAAATCTTTGCGAATTCCAAACCACCCTGGACAAATCCAAATTAATAGTTTCAGTTTTACTCAAGAAGGAAATTACACTCTAAAACCAAGTACTCATTTCATTTTTATACTAAAATCTTATATAAATATTGTTTATAAATAGTTAGACACTAACACATGGTGCTAGTGACTCAGTAGATAGTACCCTTCCATTAATTAATCCCACAGCATGGCATACAGAAGTATTTTACCTGCTACAGGCAAATCTTTCACATAAAACAAAGCCAACATCCTGACTACTTGCAATTAAAGATTCCATGATATCCTTGTCAAACAGATATTAAGATTGGTGACCGGTTGCCATATTTCACCTAGATAAATTCATTTCAGTTGGAACTTAAGTACATTTGTTTGTTAAGCACATGGAGTCCATTTGGAATGAACAGGGTTATGTTACCTAACTCATACTCATAAAATAAAAGTTATACAACACACTACTAGATCTACAGCATATAGCCTTGGACACTAAGCTAATGTTGTCATCAGCTACACTGCAAATGCACTGTGGTCACAGCTACAGGTGAAGACTGACTTGTGCCCTGTAATGTTCCACCACTCTACTCTTCCAAGCACAAAGTTGAGGAGGCAATTTAGGCTCTAGACTTAAAAAACAAACAAAAAACCCCACACAGGTTTAAAAAGTTATATACAGTAAACTTCCGATAATCCGGCACCTTTGGGACCCAGGGGGTGCTGGATTATTAGATATGCCGGACTATCGGAAGGGAGGGCTATGAGGGGCCTGGGGTGGGGAGGGTGCCACCCCAGACCCCTCATAGCCCCC